TAATACAGCTAAGATTGTGCAACTTTGTTGCAACTATTCTAACATGTAACTATCGTAATGGCCTGATGAACACAAACACCTCTGGTTCAGAATTTACCCACTAAAAAGGTAGTTAATTGGATATTTTACAACAAGGATCAGCTTGATGAAATGAAGCTACCACCTGCATAAACCTTACTATCATTAATGGTGGATTTGTTATTGATATATTATCAAAAAAGATGTGCAAGATACGTATGTTAATTTTTGAGTATATGTTGTGGATTATTGTTCATAAATTGAACATAAATTGAACATAAATTGAACATCATTGTTTACCATCTTTAAAATTCTTTATATTTACTGTAGTACACTTTAGTAGTGTGATCAATAACTTTAATGCATTACAGCCAGAAACAATCCATAGCACCTGTACTTTAAGTAGGAATATAAATGGTTATTATAAGATCCAGACTACCCCAGGTAGCAGTAAGTATGAGATGACAAAACTTCACCCTTTGTGATAATCGGACACATTGCCTCTACACCCAGAAACTTGGAGTGGTTTACTTAATTACCGCAAATCAAAATAATTACACATCGTATTCCTTTTAATAAACTAGTCAGACCTAGGCCGATTAACAAATAAATAAACATTATCACACAATAATTAATGCTTAAAATCTATGAGCTAGAATTTTCATTTCACTTAACCTAATATTTTAAGACAATACTTACTATGTTTGTTACAATTACAAGCACACTATGTGTAAATTATAACTTGAATCAAATGCTCAAATAATATTATCTGCTTTCACAATCGCCTGATTTAACTTCCATTACTAGATCATGGTGAAGGGCGAATTCGTTTTTAACTCAACCATGTGTGCTCAGTTTACATGCATTTAAATAAGCGTAAGCGTTATCTATACCTATCTATTATAATTTTCCTACATCTGGAAATTGTGAGGAAATTTTAAACGACTCACTGGAATGTTGTTTTGCACCACAATATTAGTGAAATGAGCATTTCATAGTATAAAGTTTCAGAATTTAATTATAATGGACATTAGGCCGTATGCATAGTTGTAGAATATCTAAAGTTACTTATGTTTAAACTCTAATTCCGTTTGCTTGATCTTTCTCACTTTCTTTTTAGTGCAGAATAAACAAGGATTTTGAAATCCTACTTGGAAAAATAAGAGATTTATCTTACAAAATGCGTCAACTACTGAAGAGAAATACCTTGATTATGTGGTTATTTACTATTTACTATAGGTTTTCTAGAAATAGAAAGCACAGTAAAACAAATGCATTATTAATATTTGTTCCATTAATATTAACTTAACTTGTACTTACTTGCATAAACAAGTAGATAAAGCTGCCCCACCAAAAATGCCCCAAATTTAAGGAGAGAAATGTAGAACTATTATGCTAACTAAGGGTTGAATCTACGCGTTCTCAATCGTCCACAGCACGTAGTGTCTAATATTTAGCAAGTGTATGTTCTGTTCCAATTACCTATCAAATACAACCCTTGTTGAAAATTAACAAACCTAATCCGATTTCAATCATATAACATTTTGCACAGCATTGAATGCAAAAGCATAAAGAACATCCCTTTCACGGGCATTTGGTTTATTCCGTGTAAATTGAATTTTGAGAAACGTAAAACCGTCCACATTATTGCTTAAGCTTGCATACTAACAGCTATCTGTAAACAATAATTAAAGTTTAAATATATCACATTTGTTCCCTAGAATTTTTAAGCCCGCTAATATTTTAAATGAAAATTAACAAGGCACGCTTTAATATAGCTGGCGATCATGTAATTTATTAACTAATAATTATGCACAAACTTAGTTAAGAGGGGTATTTTTCTTACAGTAGTTATTTGGTCAAAATACTATTGCTAATAAGAAAATTAAAATCCGTTTTAGAGAAGGTTTCGCGAGCAGATGAGCTAAACTTAATTACGTGTTTCCGTGTTCAAAATCCACGTTATACGATGATGTTGCATGATGATTACGCCGAAGCGTGCACAAAATGTAACCTAACTAAAGCCCAAGCTCCCTTAATATTATACGCGCGAAAACATTTAGTAACTAAACCACATTAGATGAGGCAGCGCTACAACAATAATAAAACAATGCAGTCAGTTAATGTACCTGTATTTTATTGTAAATATTTATGTAGATATTTCATTATCCACCAAAAAATATTTACGTAAACTATAGTGAGAATAATAATAACAAATGTACTTCTCATAGAGTGAGAAACTGTGGCCAGATGGCACACATAGCATATCTTACAGAAGATATCATGCTCAAGCATGAATGCTAAACATTTCTGTGATTTTCATAGCTTTTTCTGTTTCAACGGTATGTATTAATTCACAGGTATGTTTCGACGCAATTTGCACTATTTGGAATAGTGGACGGTAACTGCACTAAGGTTGTGTCACACAGTATGAAGATAATTTTACTTATATGATATTGTCTTGGTATAAGTAATTTTGATCTTTCCCAAGAGAATTTGGTCTTCAGTGTGTTCAAATGTTGGTCATTGGTGAGTAGAACGCGAAAGACCGTTGCGCTTTCACACAATCTGATTGTGACTGAGAGCTTTTTCCACAGGACAGCATATCTGATAAGGAAAACGTTAGACGGCAGAATTACCCTAAACCCGTGTACACTCAGGGTAAACTCCTTATTGCGTAGCTCCCTTGTCGAAGCATGCTATAGTTCTAGGGAATGCAAATAGCAGTGGGCGTTCTGTTGATTCATTTTGTACAGAGGCATCAGGTTACGTCTCAATCTTCCTTGTCAAAGCGGATGGAGCTGGAATTGTTGACAGCGCTCCCGATAGTGTGTAGTGAATCTTTTGCCTAGCAGACATTTGGTAACTGACCTTTGTATGCGTCGTAGTGATAGTTTGTCAGATTTCCTCATGCTGCTACAAATGATGCTGCTGTATTCCAACATATGGTAAGCGAGGATTTTGTTAAGTTCATTTCTGGCTGAGGTCAAGTGGATCTTATGTGGTATATTAACACTTGATAAGCCGGCTCTAGCCAACTTGTATTTCACTTGTTCAGAAAAGTAGAAGGCGCAAGAATACTTGATTCCGAGGTTGCATATAGACAGCTGTACACAATGATTTTTGACGTTGAGTGTAATTGATCCCACGGGTATCGAACAGCCGCGATACATAATGCTAGATTTTTCGGCGAGAACTTCATCATCCATGGGTAACACCATTTCTATAACACTAACTAACAATTACGTAAAACCTTGTGTAATTTTTGTAAATACTGGGGCACATAACTATCAGTTATATATTGCTATTAAAAGCGGAAAAACTAAGCATGATACACTAATCCGGTGGCCAAATTGCGCTAATTATCAATCTTTCTTACCCTGTTTACAATCGGACAAAAATTATTATAAGTTTGCATTCAAAACTTATAAATTTCATGGGGGAAATTTTCTAAGTATATATTTAAAGCACACACAACTAATTTTTAATATCTGTACTACGTTTCGTTTTAATTAATTATGTACCTAGCATCAATATAAGATTATTGGTTCAACCAAATTTTCTAAGCTTAATCATCAAGTACGATAAAGTTCATGGTCTTACATATGTTCTCCCATGCAATTAATATATCAGTGATCATTTTTTGGTTATCTGTTTTTCTAATCGCATCTTACAAGCTACACCTAATTGGATCTGAAAATGCAGATAATTCGGAATTAGCCGGTATTATGTCACTTGGCCAATGGATGTGTGAACATATTTCGGTTTGAATGTGCAATCTACTTGTCTCTTTCACGCCATAACATTTCCGTTTATTCCGCCGAATAAAAGACAATGACGAATCAAGTCGAATTCATTGTTCCATATCAATTCATTTGCACTTGGGATAAGACCAACCTCGGACGTACGATCATTGTTCTGTAAATGCGCCTAGGGGGCTTAGTCCTGTCTCATTACATGAGATAAGACCAAGAATGTCTACAGCTCCATCTGACACTTAAAATATGAAAGAAAGATAATATTAACTGGAGTATATTACAAAACTGAAACGCTGCTAAAAAGGACTCTGAAGCATATATTGGTCACGGCAGGAAACTTGCGATCAAGTGGCTCTAGCAGGATGTAGATAAACAGCGTGCAATTTTGCAAAGTGTAATCTTACCGTCGCCCAAGCCTGCTCAGCGGACCTCAGATATACCAGTCTTCCGTAATGTGTTTAAGTTTAGATTGATTGTCACCGGTCCTCCGGTCAAAGAATACAGGACAACTCGCCAGCCGACGCATAAGGAATCGGTTACGAGGTCCACGAAAGTCGATCTATGCACCCGCATTACCTGATACTGAAAGATAATGAAACTATTACAATTGGGTTATAAAAACCAAATCTGTGCCTTCAGAAGTAAAATTTAAGGCCATATGGCAGCCGTGATCATAGCGACTCGGATGGACTGTGTACAGACTGCGACAACGATCTACTTAACAACAATGATCGACCTCTCCAAAACACGGCGTATACAGTCCAAGTTGCCATGGCAACCAGCCAGAAATACCCGAGAAATTTTCTCCTATAATAATGTCTCCATGAATGAACCAGACTTTGGCGACCACCTGACCAAGGACACCCATTTTTATCGGCCTGTTGTTTGATCGCCTTAGACAGGTCTGACCGTAGCTTTCTTTTTGACGTCCTCACTACTTATGGGAGTGATTCGATTCCTTTGACATTGTAACAGCTCAATGATGAAGTGACAGAAATATGTTCGCTCATGCTGAGGTTTAACCGCGATATCCGTAATTATACTGAAAACCCTGATGTTCGTACCTGACCAATACATGGAAAGGCTCAACTAAGAACAAATGTGCTATAATGGATTGTTATTCGACTGAAAACTCCTGTTGCTAACGTGTCAGCATAAGCTTTCTTCCGCATGACGGAAGTTCACTACTTCGCTTTTCTCATCGTAAGCGCACGGTTTCGAGCTTTATGTACCAAATACAGCTTTCCGGTCACTGGATTCTTCGGTCAGTACCTCACGTAGAATGAGTCCGATGTTGTATTCTAACAGTGGAGTATAGGCCACTGTTGCATGTCCATCCAAATTCATAGCGGATTTCAACGACCGCAGCAACTGCTCCAGTCCGGGATAATCAAACCGACGGGCCACCTCAAGTTGTGTTTCACAGAGCTGGTTAGTGATCAACGGTGAGAGAAAAGTTTGCGTTAGATGGTGAATGCGAAGTTTTGCTGCAATACTTATGTTAAACATTTTACTACAAATGTCGGTGTAGTTCTCTAGAATTAGAACTTGCATGTGTTGACATTTTTGCAGAAACCTGTGCATAGATGTTTATGTAAGTCACGGCAGTTTCTTGCACAGTTCCTCCAAGTATGCTGGAAGTGTCAAGTAACAAGTATTGATACTACCACAAATGATTGAGTTTTCAATAAGTGAGTCCAAATGATCATGCCTAAGTAAACTAACAACTCCAGAACCTGGGAGTGAGAGCATAGAGACCCACATGCTGCAGTCGCCATTCTTAGGCAAATTGCGGGATTGATTGACCAAAGAAACTTGAGGAGCCTCTTCCACCGCAGGTTTGGACTGTATATTCTACTATAGAGAAGCAACCGTTGAGTACATGTCAGATCTACGCAGTTGCATGCAAAGTGTAACAGAATGGTCGGTAACTCCTGGGGTTATTCAGATGAGTACTCTGCGTAAATAGGTAAAATCGGTGAGAAAGCACAACGTTCCTCTTTGAGACTTAGGTCAAACGTCAGACGGCATTGTGGTATTCCCCTTGATCAGTTATGCCAACAATCGTTAATAGCGATCAACTACACCTCAATGCACGCCAAAATATTCCTACAATCGTTCTATCTAAACAGGTCCGTTCGCAAATGGGATGAACTTCACCAATCCCCACATCCCAAACGCCAGCTAGAAATGACGCACAACACTTTAGAACTGTACTGGTAGTCGTTGGTTGATGGACCGAAACTAGTTGGCACACGCGGGCAAGTGTTTGGTGAAAAACATTAAACGAGAGGCGCGGCAAAATATATCCGAACCAGAACGAATGATGTGTGACATTGTGGTAGCCAAGCTTTAACTGGACTGGCACGGATGACAGTTGGTGAACAGCACAAGCGAGCTGACGGCTTTCAAGTGGACTCAGTTATACTTGTTAAAGGTGACTGTTGGTTTTTGCTTGGTAAGACGGGGTGCGCGGTGCTCTGGACCATTTTACACATTTTCCGATTGGTTGCAGCCAAAATGTAATTAAAGTGCTCCCTAAGACTCCGGTTTGCATCTACAAGCCGAGTAAAGATAATCATTAGTGCAACTATATTGCTTCCAGTGTTTTTTCGAGACACTAGGTGCATAGTAACCTTGGAATTGAGCTAGCCCAAAGCAGCCAATGACGGTAAACTGAATAACTGTTGCATGATGTATGAGTTGGTGGTGTGTAGTGTTGATGCTTGGGCGGCTATCCTGCATTTAGCAAGTGTGCCTAATCTGAAGCTAGTTCCCGGCAGATGAGGAGCACAAGGTTATCCAAACATCTGATGCGACTGGATAGAATTAGACTGCCGGGTACGTAAAGGCATGTCTTTTGAACGGCACCAGTTGGGATCCACAGACACAGTAATGTGACACCCCATTAGCTATCTTATGGCTAATTTTGCATTGGCGCAGTCCAACGTTTCGGACGATCCACCAACGCTAGGTCATACGACGATACTGTGTCCGAGTAGCGAGGCAGTCATGGGTGCATGGCTGAGAATGGCCAATGGTGGTGTGACCGGCTTGCGAGCGGCGGTCTGCTGTGAGGACTGGTGCAGAAATTGGACTGTGGCAAGTTTGTTACAAGGCGAATAGACTCTACTTTGTTACAGAAGGCATCGCTTGCCGTCTTAGTTTTGCAATACTCCGAGTTGCTGGTCGATGAATCAAATGTGATACAGCGACCGGGCGGTTGGCAGTTTGTATCGGCTGACCGGTACACACACATGCATGGGCGGACTGGCGCAGACCTAACGTAAGGCAACTGACACGCATCAACGGAATTCGTTTCCCGTACCCAGTTGCGTGGTTTGTTTGCACATGCGAATCACTGTATCGTTGCTTGGCAGATTTGTCTGGCCAATTCACCGGCTGTTTTCTAGCAAACATACTTGGCCGAAACAGCATATCAGCGCGCAAAACTGCAATTCCTTCCTACGGTAGTTGTAGCTGCAAATCCCATTATTCCGCGAGGTCGATAACACTCAATTTCCTATCTAACGTCTGTTGACATTGTACACAATCACAGATGGCACATAATGAGTCAAATAGATAACGCTTCACATGTTCCGTTGGATAGTCGTAATGAAGAGAGGAAGATTAAGTAAGGGACCTAACGATGGACTGGAATGTGGCTTGCTGATTTGGCAAAGCCAATTATATGAAAAGTGTTATATATCCAATTATTCGCAACTAATCGCTCGCCATGGTTTACATCTTCGGCACGAAACACTAAAATTCGAGAACATAATTTTTACATGAAATCTCCTTTATAATTCCAAAGAGAACATTATAAAACAAAGTTACCGAGGTGACGTGGTTAGGACAACCTAGAAGCAGTCGGACAGTTTGGGTGTGTCTGGATATCAAGACAGTCACAAGTGTGTGACTGCAAATGCTCTGGGTTTGGGTTGCAAAATAGTATAGCGTGATTGTGAGACAAGCTATACAATTGGCCTTCGCAACATGCCACGGAACTCTGGGTTAACAGGTGCCCAAATGGAGAAGAGATAAACATCATAGGCGGAACTGTGCTGAGAGGACAAATGCCGTGATACTATTGCGACATACTTCATTTTAGAAGTGTATGTAGCGAAAGTTCTGTGCACCGTAAGCGGAACGAAGTACCCTATACCAACCATCCGTAAGTTAAGCAGAGCAATGCACTTGCACAGAAATGCGTGCACTGGGGGAGTAAGTGTGGTGGTTAATGTGTAGGCCATCCCGATGACGACTACTTTGGTCGTTTAAGTAATTCGTCTTCTCTAAAAGCTGCACCAACAGAAAATAACGGGAGACTCATGATGCACCGCACAAATTCAACACAACTAAAACGCAGAATCGAAAGCAGTCGACCTTGTAATTATCTGAAATTCTGCACAATACGCGACGATCATCTAGTTAGCATCCTGAGATGGATCAGTGGCTCATTTCCCATGCGTGTCTTAGCGTATATCGCAGTGTCTGTCCTCAGGCGGCAGTAGGGTACCAATTGCACTATGCAACTTCGACATTTCCGCAATAATGCTTAACCGAAAGATCAACAGAATGACTCTTCCTTTTCTGCGAAGTGCAGTCCTCTTCGTGGTAACAACTACGTAATATATACTAACGACTCAACGGTAGATAACAAAACTAGACATCCCATCATTGGCAGCAGTGTAGTCCTGATTGCAAAGGATCATCCGGCTACACTCTGGTTATCTCGCAACGCCTAACGCAAAAACAGCCGGGAACTACCTGCGAAAGCACTTAGTCTGAAAACCACACCCGCATGATGAATCATTCGCTTTGTGGCGCGTGGCAATGAAACACTAATTCCAAATATATGTATATAAATCAATAAAATAGGAGAAATTTACACTCAGTACAATGCATTGCGCTAGACTCATTCCTCCACACATGATCCATCATGTGCTGGAAGTATTGAGGCGTCATGCAGGCTCGTGCCTCTGATACAACTCGCTCTGTGTAACACATTCTCCACTCGGTCTTGCAGAGTACATCCTCAGGATCTCTTTGAAGCGTCTCGGAATATAAATTGGACTCATTAGGTTCAATAGAGAGGTATTGAGCGGCACTCAACTCAGCGCTAATACCAACATAGGACTTCGACAATTTTATTATAATGTGAGTGGGCTCTGCTTTGTTTCAGCAGGGATCACTTACCGGGGTTTTTTATTGAGATGATGAAAGTAAAACGTCATAAGGCGGCCAAATATGCCCTTGCAGAATGGAGTTGGTGGTTAGTGGGTAGGAGCAGTTGTCACATGCATGTGAAAGCTGAGTGCGTCCAGTCAGTGGTGCAGCAACTACTTTACACTGCAGTGGGAAGTTAAATTGCCGCCCCCTACTCCGGCGGTTGTATACCTACAAACGCTCACAATAAAAGACAGCCCTTAAAGCATTCGTTTCATATAACAACCAGCAAGGACCTAATTTTAGGGTGCTGTCGTGAATTCAGGCAGTTTTGGGTTTTATAGTACTCATTATCAAAGAGTTATAGATACACCTTTAGCACATTACCTGGGGCTGTCGCATTAATAACAATATCCATCGTCAAATTCGCCCTTTATATTAAGAACAACCAATCCATTAGCCTTGTCCGCTCCAATGATAATGGAAGATAGTTTGTTATAAGCTTGCGTTTTGGGAATGTACTCTCACAGCTGGCAATTTTAAGAGTTAGGTAAGAAAAACACGCAGCAGATTCCCCAAGGTGTTAATTCGGTATGTGTCTCAAAAGCTCAGAATTGCCATTAATTTTCGCCTATTCTGAAGCTTTTACAAAATACTGTAACCTTGTACTTTCGCAAGGAAATCTTATTTTTCTACTTAGCCACAACCACTTAGCCAGAAACCAGTTATTATCAGGCATATTTAACGGTGCGAAAAAACAAATTTGTTTGTCAGATCAAAGGTTGCTGAACTGCACAGCATTTCATCAGGCCAACTGTCTACAAGAGACAGCAGTTCCAGTTTAAACTCTGCATCAAATATCATCGATAATTCAAATAATTCTTCACCCTCCATTCGTTTCTTTTGGCGGATTCGATGCTTCATGCTTACCCTAATTTAGCGTATTGTCGCTTTGATTCCTCCGTTGCAATGTGTACCATTTTCTCTCTATTCTGATGAAGCTAAACTCTTAATTGTATGCCTGAGAGAACTTGCCTGAAGATCCAGTCCATTGGTTCAGACAAATCTGTGCATCCTTGATTTCTATGCGAAACTATACCTAAATGCTCAGAAACAAAATAAACGGAAACAGCAATACCATGTTGACAAATAAGCCTGCAACTGGTATCTTGGTTGCTTGTTCTCCTTATTCTGAGAAAGGTTTCATACAAGTCACGAGTTCTGAGTAATACTTCACTACATTATTTGCTGTACCCGCTCGACTACTTCATATAAATCAATCAGTCAGCTAATACTTATACTGCTGACTTAGATCCATGCATACAAGTAATATTTAGCTGGAAACTTGTTATCTACTTGTCCGTGTAATATAATGTATCCTCGCC